ATATTGTTTGTATTTTGCTTTTTACACACATCACAACAATTCTCACTCACAGTCTCAAACTGTTATCCAAAGTATCCAGTCAGAAACTGTCTTCTGAAGGTGTTGCACCTAACAAATTTTTTCATGTTATAATCTTGAGTTAGATTTTTAGTAAAGAAAATTTTTTCCAAATATTTTACTAATTATTGACGATTCCCTAATACACATACATTTATATTCTTAGATATTTTTATATCTTTTTTTTTTTAAATTGTATAATGCTGTGGAATTATTTTGATGTGACTGTGGAGGTCAGTTTTTGTGGACAGACATAACTATATAATTTTGTTTTGTGGACAGGACATAATTTATAAAGGTTAACCAAACAATAATTAAATGAATCTGTGGACTTATAAAATATCCAAATAAGCATTTGTGGAAATAAAAATGTAGCTGATTCACTTGATGTTCAATCCAAAAATGTTAGTCCTCCTTCCTCAAACAATGATGATTCCATAGAAGAATTATGAATAGCTGCAGAACTGTAGCTCTCTAAAAAAATATTTTGACAGACCTGAGAGCTACAGTACCACACACTGAAAGAACTGTATATTTATTGTGGACAAAATTTGTGCTTGCTTCTGTATTAATTCTTCCCTACTTCTCTTAGTATCAAGTACTCTCGTAGTTTACAACTGCATGAAGCATTGCAAGACCGAAATATTTTGCAAACCAAAGTGGTAGTATAAATAGACGAAATTTTCAATGATCTCAATTTCAGGTCCAAGAGGGCTACTAACATCAATTATAAGGAATGTTTTGTTGTGAAAACAGTGAAAGAATATGTTAGGAACACATGGTTAGTAATATTTTGAGATGACGGTTTAAAAACATGGAGAAATAAATCAGGAAACATTTCTTGTGCGCTATATACAGTTTTTTTTCAATAGGTGGCACTGTAGCTCTCAGGTTTGCCCCCAATATTTTTTTCAGAGAGCTACAGTTCTGCAGCTAATAGAAAAATAGAGTTCTACCTGTTTAAAATAGACAGACAAAGTAAATCCTCATTATTTTTCCATGAATTAAGACTTCTGCTATGCAAAGTAAGAAGAAGATATGAAACAAAAGCCCGTGAGAAAATGTCAACATCAATCATTTATGAATGAAGATGGAGTCTCTAGCCTAAAATTTCTTGAGATAATCAGTGTTGTCTGGTTCATCCAATCAGAATGATCACTCCATTTGCAGACTATCAGGTATTCTTTGGTTCTGTCAATACTTTGGACCTGAAAAAAAATATTGATTCAACATATTTTAATCCGACATACAGATTTCAGTGTATGAAAATACTTTAAGAAGGTCTGTCAGTATGTAAAGTAAAATTTCAAGGTATAATAAAAATTCAGATCATGCTTATCATATTACAAGTACAAGTAACATGAACCGTTTACCTATTTAAAAAATGCATTTACATGGTCATTTCTCATTTTCAGGTTCCAATCTGAAGTATACAAGGGAAGAGTAAAATCTTTTTCATTCCTATTTACAAACACTTACTAGATCCAGAAGAATATCCTGATTGTTTTGTGCACCATAAGATGAATTTCAATCTGACACATAATTCTGAAAAATTGAGTGGAACACCATGATCACTGGATGGTCTTCTTCAAGCTGGCATGTCTTTGTCACAATATCTTGACTCTGCATTGCCATCAAAACTTTGCATTCCTTAAAATACAAAGACAATTTTTATAAACTAAAACAACAGACTTGATAAAAAGGCTAATATTAAAAAAAACGTGTCATTATTTACCCCATTTTTTTCCTTTTTAATTATTTTATGAAATTAAAACCCTTGCAAAAATTAGAACCTGCGACTTACTGTCAAGCAGAGGTGTCCGGAAATAAGATAAACAGCTCCTTTAAGTTGAAGAATGCCGAGAATATCTGAATGCTATGGATTCATGGTGTCATCATACTGTATATATCCACCACTGAAGCCTAAGATATAAATGTTCGAAAGTAATTATAGTGATCATATTTCTGGTACAGTGACAGCAAATTTTAAGTATTTTGTGAATAAAAAAATTGAATCCACAGCTTTTGATTTAATTTGATTGTTTGTTTACATTTGCTTGAAAATTAAATTAAATTAGAAATAGTGGTAAATCTATTTCTGCATTATTTACCGATAGGACAAACCCCTCCTTGGCGGTAGATACAATATTTTCCTGCAGGCCAGCTTGGCGAAATTCTATTTTCTTCCGTTTTCTTCTAAGCAAAAAATTTTTAAAATGTAGAGGTGGGCTTGATGTCAGCATTAAATGTGGAACTTGTGTGGTCCATCCTGGTGTCTTTAATATGATGTGTAAAACTGCCTTCATAAAAACCCACTGGGACAGCCAGTTACATGTATCCAGGTACTTAATCTGGTAAAGGTGTCAGACGGCCATTTTGTTGAAATCATTCGATCTGAAGAAATAAATATTAGGTACCAAAAGCTTTTCTGAAATTAATTCATCTTATTCTTTAATCTATATAAGATATACATGTATTTGTTACATTTGCCTCTGTTTTGCTAGGTTGAAGTAAGGACTTATTTGACCTTGACCTGAGTTGACCGTGCCTTGGAGAAATAACATAAAAAAGTCATGATGGAGCTAGTCTTTTGGCACTCCAAACTTTTATGCGGAGTATGCAGATTCAATTTGATGTAAAATACAATCTAATTAAAATTAGATGCTAGATCTGCTCACATACTCGCTACACTAACATCTAACAACATACCATTGAGGGTCATGTTAGAGGTCAATTTCTATTAACCAATCAAATCGTCGCTGGCAAAATCATCATATATTGTTGAAGCGAATAAGTCTAGAGCCGTTCCGAATTTGACCTCTGACGTGACCCTCAATGGGATGTTGTTAGATGTTAGTGTAGCGAGTATGCGAGCGGATCTAACATCTAATTTTAATTAGATTGATGTAAAATAATGAAGGAATTTTTGAAAATAAAAGAACATTTTTAAATTTTTTGTACAATTTTCTATCATTACCGGACTTTCAGAAAAGTGTGGCATTCTCGACACTACATGTAGTTAAAGTATCCCAAATGGCAAATAGATTCTCATTTGTTAAGAAATTAATAACATCAGAACTTAAAATTTTTGTTGACGACGATGAAATGACCTAAGTCGTACCTCTTTGCCGTGCGAGATGCTGTTATTGAGTATTTGTTACACTCGTTGACATTCTCCCAAATTTTTTCCCCTATATATTTCAACAGTGAATGAAAGCTTTGTAAATTTCAGATGCTTAATATGTAACATCTAGAACACCACACCTTATTGAAAGCCAAAGGAAAACAGAGCATTGTATATGTACTAAGTTAAATACCCCCCATCAAAATGAGTCGGACATCCGGTAGAGAGATCCAGACCCTCCGGACAGCGACAAGTACATGTGTCCTTGTCAAAGGCGGGTTTACCAGAGTTGGCACAGGTCAAAGAGAAACTGGTACACTGGTACACTTCAGACCTATAAACAGAATATAGTGAACTGAACATAAAGCGAAGAGCATTACCTAATACAGTAAAACTCGGTTTTACAGAAATTACATCCTATATCCTTTTAAAATTCCTTACATCCATTTTATTCATTATATATAAGGTATTTGCTTAATTTATATTGCTGAGAATACAAGATAACTTCTCTATTCTGTGAATTCACAATATCCATCATGGCATATTTGTATTTAACAAGTTTAACTGTATGAACTTTGACTTGCTTTTTGAGTCCTGATATACACCATATTAATTTGCATATTATTCCTTTTGTAAATTTGTAAAATAATTTATAATTAATTTGACTTACTCTCCTCATAGCTAATATCATTTGAACTGATAAATCTGTTTCACGGTTATATCATTGTTGTCTGTTCCTTGAATTGTACTTACAATAAGATTGCAACCATGCAATGACTTGGAGAAAAGGACAAACATTTTAAGGAGTGCAAGATTAATTTAAACAAATTACTCTGCAAGTTTAAACTGTACCACCCTATAAATGGGCTGTTGAGGGGTTGTTCCTGTTGGGCTTCCATGCTCTCTTTTGGCTGACCATCATGTCTTTAATACAGGGGATTTGTTTTCGGTATCCTGGTAAATTTTATGAAATTTATGCAATGAACGATGGAAAAGCCTAAAAAAGAAACATACAAAATAGAGATATTTATGATTATCTGAAAGCTATAATGAACCTGTTACAACATAAAAAGGATTGGTACATTTTTCAAAATGTATTGCCTTGGCAAGTTGGCATTACAGTTCAATGTATGAAAAATTATTATGTATGCAAGGATATTAATAGATTGTGGTGACCTACCAAAGTAGCACCACCTCTAACTGCTAAACATCTGTATAGTGGTGGGATTCACTTCCACAAGCCTTCATGAAAATTACATGTTAGACTCACGCTATCATGTAAATATTATGCTGGGTAAAGTGGAAGGAAATTAAGGTACCAGCTAGGGGAATCATAATAAAACAAAATAAATACACAGGGGTTTTAATCCCTTCCCCTTTTCAGCTTTTATGATGATTGCATGGACAGCAAAATACAAACAGTATAGAAACATTAAACCTTTGTTTTATGTCAAATATATGCAATAGTAGGCCAGAGCACATGCTAATTGTTGATAGAATTATGATAAAAAATCTGGGGTGCTTTTACTATATTAAATAAGGAGCGACATATAAAACATTGTATATCCTAACATAGATCATTCATATATACATTAGACTAGACAATAAAATTTTGATGTCGGTCCACGACAAAGGAAATATTGGGGGTCAATTTTGACTACCTCCACGTTCTTAAAATGTAAACATTTTTTAAACCAGTGATAACAGTGTAAATTTACGCAAAATAAATCAAATGAATAAAAAAATAAATAGAAAACAACTTTGGTTAACAGTAAGCATTGATGAAATAAGTTGTCATGATGTAAAACAAATAGATATGAGCAATTATTTCTCGAGATGGTTACTTACTTTGTCCTCCATTTTGAAATTGCGCAACGTCTAACAGTGAATCAACCGATGCCTGACCTCAATGTAGAGAGTGCGCGAACGGAATTGTGGGAAGGGGACCAGACTAATTGTTTACTAGGTTAGCGGTAAATCTAGTCTTTCGCTTTTTTGGCAAGTGATACTGCTGATTCAGTAATTAATGTGCATATTTTCTAAAGTTTTAATACATTAATGAATTCATTTAAATCTAGAAAATGTGCCTGAAAAGTTTATGCGCCGATAAGAAAGACCTCGCAAAAAATTCAAAATCGGGGACCGTCGGGGGTCGAGCGTCAGGGAGACTACATTTACCACTTCCCCCATTTCTGGCAGAACGATAAACTACGCAGTTATTGTGCAGTCACAAAACAACAAGAAGTAAACGTTAAAACTTGCAACAAAGAACCAAGTGACATATTTGAAAAGCAAGACAGAGCGTGTTCTAAGAGGTGTCTGTCATCGTAAGTATTTCAAAATGCTTGCTAATTTTAAAATAATAGTGTTGAATACAAATACATGTTATGCGCGCCATTTTGATGTTGCGAGGACGAAGGCAACGGGTGATGCCCACGCTGTGTGCGATGTACAACGGCTGGAGAAATAGTTTTCACAAAGACGGAGCGAGGCCGGCTTATCATTTTATAGTTACAATTAAACGCCAAATCTTAAGTCAACACTTATTCTGTTGTTGTTTTTTTAAAATTACAAATCACTGCACAAGTCAGTGTTATGAATATCTTACTGATTGAGTACAGTTTATGACCATAAGTGATTCATAATTGCATTTTACACATATCACAAAGGAAGCAATTTTTAGAGAAAAAAATAAAACTAACAATGTGGGGTCCATTGTAGCCAAATTTTTATGACTTTTTCATCAATTCATTAGGTCCAGCCCTCAGACTATTTTTACCGATGTAACTCTTTATAGCTACATGTACCTTAGTATTTAAACCTACAGGAAGTAACTATTTTAACTTACTTTTTGCTATAATTATGTTTTGTGGTCAAATGTAGGAATGGCGCAATATATTGAACAGCAAATTTCTTGATACAGTCACACTCATGATCAATGAAACAAAATTTTGGCTATTTTTTATATTGTACATTAACAATTTTGTATATATTACTATGTAAGATTGTAAATTTATGAAATACTCATTTTCTGGCTTAATTTTTTTTTATGCATTTTTTTTTTTGCATTTATTATCAGTATGTCTGCATTATATTTCCTGCTCACGATATTGCGCTGTTCCTGTGTTTGGCCACAAAATCTATGTAAAGCAAAAATTAAGTAAAACTAGCTACTTTAAGTAGGTTTGAATATCTATGCACCTAAATGTAGCTGCATACTGACTGTGAAATCACAAATTTTGGTGGGGTTGAATTTTCGTTGTTTTCGAGGTAAGACGAAACCCACAAATTCATGTCCACCACAAAATGTTTCATACGTAAGAACTTGTAATTTCTTGATCCATGAAATCAAATCTCCATGAACGAAGGCCAAAATTGAAAACATGTTTGTTTGCTGCTTACCAATCCAGAATTTTAGGAATGGGTTGGTAGGAAAATTATCCTTTTTTTTGTATTTAACTTCAAATGGAATTACCATTAAAATAAATAGAAAATCAATATGTTCATGTACACATATACAGAATTGTTTTTTTTCTTCTGTCTTTAGCTAAATAGGATGATAAATAAATCATTCAAAACAATATTAAATCATCATTACAAAAATTTTCTGAAATTACTTTGATATCTTAACAAATTAGAGTTGTAAAATGATTAATTTGCATTTGATGTTGATATCACTTCAGTGCCTATATAAATAAAATAACATTTATTTTGAATAATCAAGAAACTGCCAAAAATTCTGGTGTCGTGAAAAATGATCAACAAGTAATAATTCAATAATTTTTTTAGGAATAATACACATTTTTTCAATGGATGGGTGGGTGCGTCTCTACTCTGTAGGTATAACTGATGAGATTAATTTTGTAGTTCACGTTTATGCCCTCCCTTCCCCTCTTCCTTATTATTTCAAAGCTTTCCATTCCCATTTGAATAGTGCATATATACAATAAGACACAGATTGTGAAAAATGCGAAATAAATCATTTCATGTAATGGAGATATTAATCGAACTAACATTAATTAGTGGAAGCTACTAGGGCAAAACAAAAATTAATCTTGTTTCCTTTCACCCGAATTACCCTAGATTTTACCCTCCGACCCTAAAATTGTTTATCACATTTTCATTTTTTGGGTGTCTATTTTCCTGAAATACTAAAGTCGACCAACAATATTTAGAGAACTAATACATCACAAGTGTACAGGATACCTGTACTGTACTTTATAAAGAAACTTGCTCTGTAAACTGTTAGCATATTGGTTTCTTGTTATTACTTGCAATATGTTTTGCTTTCATTGAGTATTGGAAATAAAAATTTTTTCTCAAAAAAAATTTTTCCTTAACTTACCTACCCTAAATTTTTTTTGTCAGGGGACAGGAAACAAGAATATTTTTTCTTTTGGCCTTATGGTGTTACATGTAGTTGTAAGAGACTTGTGTTGGACAAGAATAATGTGGAAAGGATTAGGAAAGAAATTCATGTATATTTTAAGCATGTGTACCCGTTACGTAAACATGGTTAAGGGCAGTTAAAATAAGTAACTAGTGCTAATTGTAACGGGGACCGTTACAGATGTTCCCCAAACGCTCCCCAACTCCCTTTTGGTACCATACTCCCTGTAATGTCTATTAAATAAGAAATACTTTATGGAATTTAGATTTTATCAAGGTCTCCCCAAAAGAATACAAAATATATTTAAATTTAAGCATTGCATGCGTGTTCATGTGCGTAACGACCATATTATCTTGTCTACACTATATATATATTTTAATATACTTAATATCAGGGCATTTAATCCAAAAGTATTAAAAATTGCAATCACTCGAGTGTATTTTTAATTTAACTCATTTCACGTGCAAGCACGTGCATGATGACTACACGTTCGTGTAGGAGTCCCTTATATTTATCTATGTTCTTAATCCCATCCTGTTTAGTTGAAAAACAAGGGAGTTATAGCCATTTGAAGTTTCAGCCAATCAGATTGCAGCACACATGCATGCGCGTGACTTCATGAATTTTATCTTTATCGTATTAAAGGATATCGTAATGAATGACTATATTTCAAAATTACAAACATTTCGTCAAAAAACAAAGGAGATATAGCCATTTAAAGTTTCAGCCAATCAGATTGCAGCACACGCGCATGCGCGTGATTTCATGATTTTTTTTCTACAACATATTATAGAATATCCTAATGCATGACTATATTTTAAATTTCAAAGTATTTCGTCAAAAAACAAGGGAGATATAGCCATTTAAAGTTTCAGCCAATCAGATTGCAGCACGCGCGCATGCGCATACTTTCATGAAAATTTTTATATATCATGCTGTAGATCTTCATAATGTAGGACTATGTTCAAAATTTCAAAAGATTATGACAAGAAACAAGAAAGATATTGAGACTTTAGTTTCAGCCAATCAGAGCGAAGCACACGTGCATGCGCGTGCGATCTTGCTATTCTGACCATACCGTCTTGTCTATACTTATAATATATCCTTACATTATGAGTTTCAAAACATTTCATCAAAAAATAGAAAAGTTACGGCAATATATATTATGTTCCCCAAACGGAGTTTGGGAACATATTGTTTTTACTCTGTTTCTTATTATTATTATTATTATTTTTTTTCTTATTTGTTCTCCGGTACTTTTTTGTCCGCGAGTGTTCTCAGAAACTGTTCACCCAACTGAGCTAAAACCTTTTTAGGGTTAATAGGTGTGTAGTGTAGGTGTGCGGAACGAAAGTCATTTTGCGTGCATACGCCTGCACGTGCGTGCGCGTGAAATGAGTGAATTGACTGATATACTTAATATAGCTATAACTTTTACATTTTTTAATGAAATACTTTGAAACTCATTACATAAGGATATATTAATAATGTTTATAATATGACACTGTCAAATTAGCACGAACTCACGCGCATGCACGTGCGCCTTGCTCTGATTGGCTGAAACAAAAATCTCAATATCTCTTTTGTTTTCCGACGAAATGCTTTGAAATTTTTAACATTGTCATGAATTAGGATATCCTACAATATAATATGAAAAAATTTCATGAAATCACGCGCATGCACGTGCGCTGCAATCTGATTGGCTGAAACCTTAAATGGCTATATATCCTTTGTTTTTTGACGAAATGCTTTGAAATTTAAAACATAGTCATGCATAAGGACATCCTGCAATATGATATACAAAAAATTTCAAGAAATCACGCGCATGCACGTGTGCTGCAATCTGATTGGTTGAAACTTTAAATGGCTATATCTCCTTTGGTTTTTGATGAAATGCTTTGAAATTTAAAACATAGTCATGCATTAGGATTTTCTACAATATGATTTAGAAAAAAATTCTTGAAATCACGTGGATGCACGTGTGCTGCAATCTGATTGGCTGAAACTTGAAATGGCTATAATTCCTTTGGTTTTCAACCAAACAGGATGGGATTTAGAACATAGATAGACATAAAGGACTCCTACAGGATGGTATGGTCACCATTCACATGCATGCATGTGAGTGCACGTGCGCTTTGCTCTGATTGGCTTAAACAAAAATCTCAATATCTTTTCTGTTTTTTACAAAATGCTTTGAAATTTAAAACATTAGCAGACTTTAAGATGTCCTACAATATGTTATATAATAATTGTCATCAAAATACGCGCATGCACGTGCGCTGCAATCTGATTGGCTTAAACTTTAAATGGCTATAACTCCCTTGTTTTTCAACCAAACAGCATGGGATTTACAAAATAGATAGACATAAAGGACTTCTACTGGATGGTATGGTCACCATTCACATGCATGCATGTGCGTGCACGTGCGCTTTGCTCTGATTGGCTGAAACTAAAATCTCAATATCTCTTTTGTTTTTTGACGAAACCCTATCAAATTTTAAACATAGTCATGCATTAGGATATCCTACAATATGATATATAAAAAAGTTCATGAAATCACGCGCATGCACGTGTGCTGCAATCTGATTGGCTGAAAATTTAAATGGCTATATCTCCTTTATTTTTTGACAAAATGCTTTGAAATTTAAAACATAGTCATGCATTAGGATTTCCTACTAAATGATATAAAAAAAATTTCATGAAATCACGCGCATGCATGTGTGCTGCAATTTGATTGGCTGAAACTTTAAATGGTTATATCTCATTTGTTTTTTGATGAAATGCTTTGAAATTTAAAACATAGTTATACATTTAGATATCTTACGATATGATTCAGTAAAATATTTATGAAATCACGCGCATACGCGTGTGCTGCAATCTGATTGGCCAAAACTTGAAATGGCTATAACTCCCTTGTTTTTCAACCAAACAGGATGTGATTAAGAACATAGATAAATATAAGGGACTCTTACAAGAAGGTATTGTCGTCATGCACGTGCACGCACGTGCATGCATTTGGAATAAGTGAAATTAAAAATACACTTGAATGCCTGATTTTAATACTTTTGGACTGAATGCTTTAATATATACTATATTTAAATATAATAGATAGTTTAGAGAAGATGGTATGATCTTAACGCACATGCATTCACATGCGATTGGGTGCAATGCTAAAATTTGAATATAATTGGTATCCTTCTGAGAAAACGTTGTTAAAGTAAAAAATGCACAGAATTTGTCTTATTTGATGAAGCTTACAGGGAATATGGCACCAAAAGGAAGTTGGGGAGTGTTTGGGGAACATCTGTAACGGTTCCCGTTACAATTAGCACTAGTTATATTTGTCATTTCACGTGTTGCACGTGCATGCTCTTGCAAGCACGTGCGCGCAAAATGACCCTCGTTCGGCAAATCTACATAACATGTCTACTGACCCTAAAAACATTTTACCTTAGTCGGATGTGTAGTTTACAAGATCACTCGTGGACAAAATTTTCCCAGGAAGAAAAATAATAATAATAATAAGAAACAGAGTAAAAACAATATGTTCCCCAACTTCGTTTGGGGAACATAATAAGGACCAAGCACCCATCTAAGAGGAGGAAGTCAAGAAAGAAATAGGGTGGGGGTCATTTAAAAATTAATATTTCTTAATGGAAGCTTCCTGGTGTAGTGTAAATTCTAAATTGTTTAAATCATGATACCTAGGATCATACAATATGCTATTTATATAACGTGTGAGTTTAAGCTTGCCTTATTTCATTCATGTCCAAATTGTGTTTGTGAATATATAGAGATAGTTTCAAACATTTATCATGTTTATATCAGCCCTTGTATTTATAGATAGTAGAAAATTAAATTCTTTAGGAAAGCAACCAGATTATGATGAGTGGAATTTAAAAGCAAGCATCAGGGTAGTGTTAATTAAATCACATTAATTTTTTGTACCTTTAGGAAAAATGAAGAAGGGCTTAGAGTTTTACAATTGAATTAGTAAAAAAAAATTTCTCGAGAATAGCAGGTCTTGTAAAATTATATTATTCATTATCAATGTAGTGAATGCATATATTAATTTTACATTACATTAGGAATTAGTAAATTCTTGATCATCCGATTGAAGAATCTTTTTGATGCCAATACTTACTGCAATGCATGACCTCGGTTTATACGTTCTCATCCAAAGAACCAATCTCCACGCCCCATAGTGAGATTCGAACTAGCAACATAAGGACTAACTTCTATTCCACGACTCAAGAGCAGATGCTGTAGACACGACGCCATGTTTTATTACTGCATGTAATGAATTCATGTGCTATAGATGTATTTCTTGTTCATAGTATCTCACATGTATATTCCTGATGAAAATACTTTTCTTTGCAAATACAAATAATTTTGACCTCAACCTTGGAGTTTAAGATGCATTTGAAAAATTTCAACCTTCGCCGTAAGCTGTCAATATGGGGGCATCCATGTTTCATAAAAGTCTTGTTTTTTTATGTTGCATGTGAGCATTGTGAAACTATGATGATAATTTTTTTGTCATTCTTTCAAAACCTCACTGTGTTGATTAGTGATTCATGGTACCACTCTCAGTAGTGTAACATAACTTAAAGTTATACATGCTATATAACTTGCGCCATACTGTTGGAAATTTATATATTTTGTTTACCAATAAAAGTTGCGAAAATACTGTTAATTACACCATTGAAAAAATTAAACAGGTCATAAAGTTATCAAATTATAATTATTTATAATCCTTCCATGAGAGGTTTTTTTTATACCCCATTCCATACCTTGCTCTGATAGAGAGGAGAGTATACTGTTTTATCTGTCTGTCTGTCCATGTGTCTGTCTGTAACAAATTTTAGTCACATTTTTCTCAGCAACTACTCATCGCAGATGCGGGAAATTTTAACACAATCTTTTCTAAGGCATGCCATAAGGTGGGATACATTTTTAGCTCACCTGAGTCGAAGGCTCATGTGAGCTTTTCTGATTACATTTGTCCGTCTGTCCATTCGTATAGCTGTCCCTGTCTGTAAACTTTTCACATTTTCAACTTCAACTCAAGAACCACTGGGCCAATTTTGACCAAACTTAATACAAAGCATCCTTGGGTGAAGGGGAATTTAAATTGTTAAAATGAAGGGTCAAGTCCCCTCACAAGGGGAGATAATCAAGAAAAAACAAAAATAGGGTTGGGTCATTAAAAATTTTTCTCAAGAAACAGTGGGCCAGAAAAGCTGAAACTTTCGTGGAAGCATCCTGGGGTAGTGTAGATTCTAAATTGTTAAAATCTTGACCCCTGGGGGTAGGGCGGGGCCACAATGGGCAATGAAAGTTTTACATAGAAATATATAGGAAAAATCTTTATTAATTTTCTTCTCAAGAACCACTGGGCCAGAAAAGCTGAAAATTATGTGGAATCATTGTTGGGTAGTGACTGTGTAGTTTCTAAATTATTAAAATCATGACCCCCCGGGGTAGGACGAGGCCACAATTGGGAATCAAATTGTACGATGGGGAATCAAAGCAACTTGTTGTAGTGTAGATTTCAAATTGTGTAAATTGTGATCAGTGAGGTATGGTGGGGTCTCAATGTGTATTACAAGGGGGGAAATCCGGTAAAGAACGGGTCAAAACTTCTCAGGTGAGCGATGTGGCCCATGGCCTCTTGTCTTCAGGGTACTTTTAGTAATCAGTTGTACAGTGGCTGCAACGGTATCGGTGACAAATAAATCATGTAGATACATTTGTGTATTGTGTGTGATCATTTGTGTAACGTGCGAGATTGTGCGTGTATCAGACTTGATCGCTTAGGGCTTTAATCGTGCGAGATTGTGCGTTTAGAATCGTGTAAACTTTATTTGTAAAATTTTATCGGAATGTTATTTGTAAAAAAAGCATTTCTATTGTTTTTTTAAAAATTTATTTATTTAATAAATGCAAATAAAATGAATGAAGCGCAGTTAACATCATTGAATGCAGAACGAACTAATTATTGCTCATAAACAAGAAATATGTTAAGTCGTACACTATTAAGTTCTTGTCAAATAGCTCGATCAATATTATGATAAACCATACTTAGATCTTCATCGTTTTTTTTTTCTTTAAAATATTATTTTTATTCTTGTTTACTGTTTTTGTGGAAAAGATATTTTGAAAATCAATACATCAAATATAAATATTTCTTTTACAAATATATAACCATTTCTCAATGCTTACATAAATATTTAGTCAACGAATATACATGCACTGACATGATTTTCGGAGGTTTTGATTATCTGTGTTTATCTCTGGAGCTTACTTTTAATTAATTTTAAGATTTCTGCAAATAAAAAAAGTTAAATAATTGGCAAGTTCATTTTTAGAGATTCACAAACATGGACCAAGGTCCTGCACAAACATTGAATCTATGGAAACACTACGAATATAATTTGTAATTTAAGTCATTCCATGCTGCCATTTTTTTTTTCTTCAATCGTATCCCCCATTCTGCATATCATGAAACCCAATTCAATCCAATTATACGACCCACATTCAATTACAACTTCTGATAGAAGAAAAAAATCTGTTTTCTTAGGTCGTAGAATACCTAAATAAATATTTATAATCTAAGATATTAAGTCTTACATGTATTTAGCTTCAGAAATATTAATTTTCGGGTTTTTTTCAAAGTCTATGAAATGATATTAAAAATTTTTTGAAATCTTAAATTAGTATAGAGCTGTATTTCGTTTTGAAAATATTGATTCCTAAATATTTTGACTATTTTGAGTGAAGAACCGTGCATTTGCGTTAGCAATCATGTAAGATCATGTAACGTGTGGAATCATGTGTGAAGGATTGTTCATGTAACAGGTTTAAATGTGCGGGATCGTTCGTGTATCATGATCGTTCATGTAAGTTGTCAACATTAATGTTGCAGCCACTGTATATTATCAATGTTTTTCAGATGGCAAAGAGAAGGAAAATGTCTGCAAGACAGAGAATGATGCAAGACAAGATGAGAAAAAGAGAAAAGAGGCAAAAGCCTGCAGGAATTCTGCCAGATGAAGTCACAGCTTTGACGTCACAACAGTCTGCTGTTCCTTGCGGGACAGTGGATGGAGCTGATTCAGCTCCTCCCGGTAATTTTCCGGGGCTTGGTTCGATGGGGTTTCCACCTAAAGAGGAAAAACCCCTGGCCAGGGTGCAGGCCTCACCTCGAGTGAAAATGCATTCACCTGCCCCGAGGTTGCCATCTCCTCGGGGAAGTCGTCTGTTTGTCCATGACGAGGGCAAGGCACCGTCCACTGACTCCCCACCGTGGGTTTGTGCTCCACCGAGGGCACCTGGATCGGACATAGTGCATATGTCTGATCCAGCAGGACAGGCGCAGCTGGATACCTCCAGGATGGAGGAGACCAGTAGAATATCAAAAGATGAGGGCTCTTTAACGAATTCTAAACTGGAAACTATACGAATAACAAACAGATACTTGAACGAAAAACCTGATATCATAGAAAGTGTAAACAGAGAAAGAGATATGTTGGAGACTGTAGAAAGTATGTTGGATTTCAGAGATGATACAGAGATTATAGAAAATGAGTGGAGAAATGAAGGAAAGAAAGATATGAAATTAACAAATGAACGAATTTTTCACAGGAAAAAGGGTCAGAACATAAAAGATTTGAAGGTACAGAGTAATCAGAAAGAAAGTACTAGTATGCAGGATTGTCTTGCTGAGGAGAATACAAATTTAGAAGCAAGAAATTCATATACTGTATCTGTCCAGGGCTCTTTCCATCAAGCTGATCCTATGTTTGGTGACAATGCAGGGACTCAATGTGTGGCAAATTGTCTATCAGCTATAGCTTATCATGTTCTGAAAAATGCAAAAATCTGGCAAACAGCTGATGTCAACAAAGTTTTAGTGAATGGGGACGAACTTTACACATACCTGCAGAACAGTTCTACAGTTACAAGTAGATATTTGTTAGTTGAAGAGTTGCCGCAGTATTTTGAATGCTTCAGTAGAACATTTGAATTCACGGTGAAGGTATCAGTATCAAGTTTAATCAGCTTATCAGAGGAGGAGCCATGTTATGAAGATTTTAATGCTTATCCCCTTTTTGAAGCTCTGCAAATGGCACTTCATGAAACAGTCGGATGTTTTGTATGTTTTGGGGGAAATACTTTGGTAGTTGGAAAGACAACTGATGGATTTTTCATATTTGATTCTCATTCAAGATGTTCTCGTGGATATCTTAGTGTGCATGGAAAGAGTACAAGAATTCTATTGGAGAATGTTCATGATGTTTATTTGCACCTAAGGTCATTAGCAATTTCAATGGGTTTTTCAAGAACTGTTGAATGTGAACTAACAGGGGTATTATGTTCCCTAAAGAATTTTGCTATGGCTGAAGTGTTTGACCAAGAAGCTGAGAGATATTTAGGAGCAGAAATAAGTTTAAATCAGGATGCATTATCAACAGAACAACCAGAGATGTTACAGACAGATGAAGTGATTTTTGTGGGCGAAGAAAGCAAGCAGCATGATTTTATTCCTTTGTCTGTTCAGAATCAGAAGGATTTGTGCAAGAAAATGGGGCTGTCATATGTTGTTTCAGGATGTGACAACAGTTCAGTATCTGTAAGAGATATGGGTGTGCCTAAGAGCTGTAAAGATATTGAAAGAGATGGAAATTGCTTTTTCAGGGCTATATCATTTAGCTTGACAAACTCTGAAAATCATCACAAACAAATTCGTGAAGCTGTATGTCAACACTTGCTTAAAAATGAAATAGAATTTCAACAATTCATGCGAACAGAGGGATCTTTAAGGTCATACTTGCTTTCAAGTAACATGACACATGAAGGTATATGGGCAACGGAACTGGAGATTCTTGCTGTGGCACATATGTTGAATGTAGACATATATACTTACTCAGACATGAGGTGGCTTCAGTTCAGTGGGCATGATCTGTGTGCTGAATCAGTGAATCATAGAGGAGCTATATATTTATATCACAGAGAACAGAATCATTATGATGTTGTTTTGCAAGTGACATCAAGGTTGGCAGAAATTGACTGTTTCCTCATGAATAATCCTGGTGGAAGAGAGTATATCCTTCGAAAAGAAAACCAAATGCGTATGAGAAATAGGCGCAAAGCTCCAGAATTAAAAGCGATTGTGGACTCAAATGAAAATCGCAAGACTGCACTAAAGAAAAAATACCAGAAAAATGAGGAGTTCAGGGAAAAAATGTTGAAGCATAAGAAGAACATGTATACAAAAGCAGACTATAGGTTGAAAGCACAACTGAGCAATAGGCATCGTTATCATAAAAATATTGCTTACCAGTTAAAATATGCCTTAAATGCTGAACACAGAGGAAAAGTGCTGAAAAGGAGCAAAGAAAAGTATCAAACGGATTTGAATTATAAAGAGCAAAAGAAGATACAAAGTGTTGGAAAATATAACTTGGACTTGAAGCACAGAGAATGTGCCAAAAAAAGAAGTAAAGAAAAATACAGAACAGATTTGAAGCATCAGAATAATGTGAAGGGAGCAAGCGTAAAAAAGTACAAGACAGACTTGGAACATCAGAAAAAGGTAAAGAAAGCAAGTTCTAAAAAGTACAGGACAAACTTAGAACACCAGAAAAATGTTAAGAAAGCAAGTACAGAAAAGTACAGGACTGACTTGAAACACAAGAGAAATGTTAAGAAAGCAAGTACAGAAAAGTACAGGACAAACTTAGAACATCAGAAAAATGTGAAGAAAGCAAGTACTGAAAAGTACAGGACTGACATGGAACACCAGAAAAATGTTAAGAAAGCAAGTACTGAAAAGTACAGGACTGACCTTGTGCATAAAGCCAATTTAAAACGAACAATATTGGATAAATACAAGGCAGATGAATTCTACCAAAAAAAGAACAAAGCTGCCAATGTCTCTAGGTATCGAAGGAATGAAGCTTTTAGAGCTGAAAAGAAAGAACAAGCTCAAAGAAGATATCAATTTGATGCTGAAGTTCAATTAAACACGAAGAATCGTAGCAAGACTAGTTACAAGTCATCCCCTGACGTTCAAGATAGAAAAAAGAGAAGAGTACAACAGAATAGGAAAATGAAAAAAATCAACATGAAACAGGCAGAGGAAGTTGTGAGATCATTTAAAGAAAATGCATCGAAAGGACCAGATTATGCATGTACCTGTTGTCATAGGCTGTTGTTCAGAAATCAAGTACAAGTTTGTGAACATCAATTGTATGAAAAAAATGAAGCAGCAAGAACTATCTCGCATATTTGTTTGCTTGGCAAGTATATCCATGAATGTTCTGAATCATGTCCAGACACATGCACCAAATCATCATCATGGATTTGTTACACTTGCCATAGGAAAATATTAAGTGGAAAAGCACCACCAGAGGCTGCTGCAAACAATATGACTTTAGAGGATATTCCACCTGAATTGGCCAACTTAAACAGCTTAGAACAACATCTCATTGCACTTCACATACCGTTCATGAAAATCATGGCTCTTCCACATGGTGGACAAAGAAATGTACACGGACCAGTTATATGTGTGCCCTCAGACATGAGAAAAAATTCCAGTTTACCAAAGCAAGAGGATGATAACTTGTTGTTGCGGGTGAAATTGAAAAGGAAGCTGGCGTACAAAGGTTATTTTGAATATCAGTTTGTTAATACAAACCATGTAATGTCAGCCCTGTCATTCTTGAAAGAGAACAATCAGTGGTACAAAAATGTCGTAATTGAATCCATTCGGGAAGATGACATGGAAATTCCTGGGCAAATGACTGATTGTGAAGAAGAAAATGAAGAGAGTAATGAAAACGATGATCAAATGATTGCATTTGACACTTGTTTACAACCCGTAGATGTTGCACAAGAAGTTTTGGACCATTATTTCGATGATGTGTACAACATTGCACCAGGTGAAGGGAAGAATCCTGTGCGAATGCTACAAGAGCCTGGAAATGAGGCAAAAGCGTTTCCTTGTCATTTCCCAAGCGGAAGATTTTCTTGGAATGAAGAAAGATCACAAAAATTAACACTATCTAGGTATTTTAACAATAGGGTAATGAATGCAGATAATAGGTTTGCAAAGGACACAAATTACATTTTCTTTAGCCAGTACATGTCCGAACTCAACCAAGTGATTGAAAAAACTCAGATTTCACTCAGAAAATCTTTGTCAAAATGTTCTAGTGGGAAACCAGTGACAGCAAATATGCTTCAAGATCCTTCTACGCTCTCTAGTTTGTTGAGGAATGATGAGGCAATAAGGTTCATGCAGCCGATAAGAGGAACACCCGCATATTGGGCAACTGCTCAGAAAGATCTCTTTGCAATGTTGCGGCAGTTAGGAATACCTACGTGGTTTTGTTCGTTTAGTGCAGCAGAATATAGATGGAATGATGCAGTAAGGGCTATATTAAGGCAGCAGGGTGATGACAGGAATCCGGATGAAATGGAATGGTCAGAAAAGAATGAAGTTTTGCGATGCAATCCTGTCACAGTTGCTCGAATGTTCGAACATAGATTTCAGGTATTTCATAGAGAGGTCATTCTTTCACCTTGTGAACCAATCGGAAAAGTGGTAGACTTTTTCCAAAGAGTCGAGTTTCAGCAGAGGGGATCACCACATATGCATTGTTTATACTGGGTTGCAAATGCACCTAACATTGACTCTGATGGAGAGGAAGTTGTGTGTAACTTCATTGACAAATATGTAACATGTGGCATACCCTCGGAAATTGACGACGCAGAGCTGAGAAAAAGTGTTCTGGATGTACAGCAGCATAGCAAGAATCATTCAAAATCTTGCAAGAAGAAAGGCACTGACTGTAGGTTCAATTTCCCAAGGCCTCCATCCCAAAGGACATTTATAACAATTTCCTCAGAAGAAGAGAACATAGATACATGTAAGTCTGAAACAGAGGTTAGAGAGGAGAAAGTAAACAAAGCATATGCAAAGGAAATTTTGATTAGTGTATGGGATAAAATACAAAATGATGGCGAAGGAAAAACTACAAGAGAAGTATTTGATGACCTTTCACTAACTCAGGAACTATACGAAGAAGCTTATAATATGTTAACCGCAAGGAGGTCAATTGTTCTCCAACGTAACCCAAATGAGGTATGGACGAACCAATATAACCAGTGTCTCTTGAAATGTTGGGATGCTAATATGGACATTCAGTTTGTCTTGGATCCATTCAGTTGTATTGTTTACATCGTTTCGTACATATCAAAATCAGAAAGGGAGATGGGCATGTTACTGAAACAAACAAAAATAGAGGCAGAGGAGGGAAATCTCAATGCTCGACAGACAATGAAGAAAATTGGTTCAGCATACTTGCATCACAGAGAGGTCAGTGCTCAGGAAGCTGTTTATAGGGTGTGCAATCTTAAAATGAAAGAATGTTCGAGAAAAGTTGTTTTTATTCCCGTTGGTGACAATCCATTACGCTTAAGCAAACCACTGTCTTTGATCAAAAAGAAATCAAATGATGAAGAAATAATCAGTGATGAGGATGATGATGAAAATGATATCTGGATGACAAACATAATTGAGCGTTATGAGAACCGTCCTGATAAGCCAATGTTCCATGACATGTGTCTCGCCAACTTCTGCTCTGAATTCAGAGTACTTGCTAAATCTCAAGTTCCAAAAAAAGAAAACGAAAATGTGTTTGAATTGCAGAATGGTAAGGGATATGTGCAACGCAGAACAAGAACACAACATGCTGTCATAAGGTATCCAAGATTCAATGTTGAAAATATGTCGGAAAAATATCATCGATCTATATTGCAACTTTTTCTTCCTTACCGAACAGACAAACAATTGAAGCCTCCAGGATTTGAATTATATGAGGACTTTTATGAAACTGGTCATGTGAAAATTAAAGGGACAAGGCGACTGCAATCAGTGAAATCAATAGTAGATTTGAATCGATCCCATTATGCACAAAATGAACAGTCCTTGGACATAGCCCAAGAAGCATATGAAATGAATGGTGAACCAGAGGATGCGTGGTCACGCATATGTCCAGAAACAGAAGTACTAAGGAGAGAAGGTATAGCACAGAGGAAGGAAAACACAGTGCAACAAGAGAATGATGGGGAGGCTATACCAGATATGGAAAGTGAGATGAATAATGCAGATGTGCTGTATCATGTTCACCAAAATGTTATTTCAAGAGATGAAATGTTACCAGTTCTCCAAAATTTGAATGAAAAACAGAGTGAGATATTTTATTTGCTTCGAGAGTGGTGTTTAGCAAAGATTAATGGCAAGAAATGTGAACCCTTGCACTTATTTGTGACTGGTGGTGCAGGTACTGGTAAAAGTCATCTTATAAAAGCAATTCATTATGAAGCGTCACATTTGCTTTCTAGAATGACTTCTGAACCAGAAAAGGTTACTGTACTCCTTTCGGCATTCACGGGAACAGCAGCCTTCAACATTGGTGGAAATACGCTTCATCATTTATTTTCACTTACAAAATATCTGCCTTTGCCATATGAGCCATTAGGAGAACAAAGTCTTAGTGAAATGAGAGTCAAGATAGGTGACATACAGATTCTTATCATTGACGAAATATCAATGGTATACAAAAAGCTTCTGTATTATGTACATGAACGGCTAGTGCAAATTAAAAAATGCAAAGATCCATTTGGAGGTGTTTGTGTTATCGCAGTGGGGGATTTCTATCAGCTTCCTCCTGTTAAGCAGCGGAAGAATGAGAGACTCTATAAAGAAAATTTGACGTATCCTGTTGATTACTGGTTTGACTGTTTTAAAGTCATCGAATTAAACGAGATAATGAGGCAAAAGGAAGATGCGTCATTTGCTGAGTGGCTGAACTCTCTTCGTGTAAGACAGACAAATGAGCCATTAACAGAGGAGCAAAATCTGATGTTAGAACGGTGTCTCAGAGAAGGACCAGAGGATGTTCTTCATGTATTTTGCACGAACGAAGAAGTGAACACGTTCAATTTGACAATGATAAGAAAGACGTGTGAAGATTTATTAGAAATTGATGCTGAAGATTATAAGAAGGACAAAACATCTGGGAAACTGATTCAGAGAAACAAACCCTTCATAAAATCAACAAGTGATATACTGTAAAAAAAATTGGGGGCCAACCATATTTTCAATGGACATTTACTGTAATAAAGGTAATGTTGGGAAAAAGAGTGGGGGGGCTGGCCCCCCCCCCCCCCCTGTTGCTACATGCCTGCCATGGGCCACTGAAGCTCTTCTTTCATGCTATAATATATGTTTTGTGTTATAATATAGATAATGTTCTTTCTTTATCTTCAATAGAGTGAAATTCAACATTGAAGCAAAACTAGGAGAATATGTGAAGATAATGAATCGAGAGGCAGGGAACAGGATTGAGTATCATGCCCTGAAACAAACCAGCAATAAACGCGAGTTTGTGTACAAGTGGGACTTAGTCAACCCCTATCACTGCGTGGCTTCCTCAGCCTCATGTCCCCAGTTCCTAACTGTGGTGGACCTTACAGAACAAGTAAGTACTGCCCAGTTCTCATAATCAAGCTCTGGAAATTTTGTCTTGTTATTTTTGCCCTAACACATTAAAAATTATATGAAAAAACAAAATTTACATGTTAATTTAAGTTTTATGGCCTGTCACAAAACAATTTCCTTTTTTCATGGCCTACTAATATATGTTTTTTAATTCTTTTTGTGACCACTTGTTAAACTATTTCTGATTGTTTATAGCCCACCATAACTATGACGTGGGATGGCTGGGGTAATGACTTGTCAGGTTTGCTGAGATATGAATATGAGATGTATCAACTCTGCCATGATGGATTTGAACTCGGAGAAAATCATGGGAAAGTAGTCAAGAGCCCAACCACTATCAACCTCAATGATCCAACTGTAAGTTTATATAAGATGGAGTTTGTCGTATTACGAAAGCCCAGAAGGCTCATTCGAGATTCAAGTTTTGAAATACGAGATTCAGAAATCGAGATTCGAAATTCGAGTTTCGAAATTCAAGATACAAACTAACCAATCAAAAGCGGGTTCAACTTTTGATTACTTCCCTTTGTAACGTTTTTACTATCAAGAAATCGTTGAATATATTTATAACAAATGGATCATTTGCTAAAATGATAATGCAAGAAAAAATGTTTTATGTATTAAAACGAAATAAAAATAAAATTTGGATTACATTTTGAAAAATACATATATAATCTTATTTTTCTAATTTAACAAAGTAGTATATACGTATATATGGAATATTATAATTATGGTCTTATCGTTGACTTGTCGAACAAGTAGGTCAACTAATTTTATTTCATCGGATCATTCTTGATGGAGAAAGTTGCATTTAATTATAATTAGACATGAAATATTATGAATCGTGTCTATACTGCACAATAATTTAAGGGTATATATTTCATCACATCTATAAAGGGTACATTTGTGCAGTGAGACTTGACTGCCGAATCGAACTGTAGCGTTATATAAGGTTTTATAAGGGTATATTTTGGTCTTTGGCCATAAAGCTATGGTCAGAGACTAAAATATAACCCCATAACGCTATATAGTTCTGCATCTAATTTAGACTCATCTACTATTTGATATAAGATAAAATAGATGCCGCATTTATTTTAATTCATATCGCCAAGCTGTATTGTAGATATAATTTTTAATTAATTCAAGAAATCAAAGCCTTAGATAAATATAAGTAATTACATACTTAATTTTTATGTAATTCCTCTATCAGAAAACGAAAGCGATTTTTTTTATCAATACTACGTCGTCTTTCAAGTTTCAAGCCTTTCAGTGTGTTTGGAAAAATGGGCAGGCGGGGAGGGTAGGGGTGGGGTTATTGTTAACCTTTAGACACTTTCCACGTATTCATAACTTTATTTATATGTCATCAACCCCGTCAACAAAGTAGACAATACAAATATATATATATATATATATATATATATATATATATATATATATATATATATATATATATTCCTGATATATGTATTTTATTTAATATTTAAAAAACCATAATATAAATTGAAGTATATCTTGCTGATCAAAAATCCAATGATTATTTAAATTTCCTTCTTATATAAATTACACTCTTTCTTGCATTGTAATTTTATTAAATGACTTATTTGTTATTTATATATTAAACGATTTCTTGATAGTAAAATCATAATAAACGGGAGTAATCAAATCTTGAACCCGCTTTTGATTGGTTAATCTGCATCTTGAATCTCGAAATTCGAATTTCGAATCTCGTATTTCGAATCTTGAATCTCGAATGAGCCTTTTGAGAGCTTTTGATTGGTTAATCTAGATCTTGAATCTCGAAACTTGAATTTCGAATCTCGTATTTCGAACCTTGAATCTCGAATGAGCCTTCTGGGCTTTCGTAAGTTTGACCAGAATCTGCTCATCAGGGTTTATGGAGGCAGTCAAGAGTCTTGTTGAAAGAGATTAATTTGAGCATGTGCAGTAGGCTTCCAACCTTCAGGATTTGCTTACTATCGAGATCAACTCTCCTTACTTACCGTCCACCTAAATTGGTACTGTAAACAGGGTTATTTTCTCCCCGTGTTATTTTCGCCCTTTCACACTAGCAAACAATTTTGCCAACTTTTAAATTCGCCCTGTCAGAGTTTTGTTTAAGATAGTATACTGTATCATTTGAATTCGCACCGTTTTTTATTCGCCCAAATAAGGGGTCGAAAATTTCCGTGTATACAGTAGTAGGCGTCTTCATGTGAATGAAATATTCTCGAGAGGGACGTTTAACAATAAACAAACAATTAGATAAAACGATAGTGTACGTCGTATGGTATGTTACGTTTTCTATTTGATTTTGATGCTGTCAAATTAAAACAGTTTCATGTTCTTAATTTATTAGCACTCTATAAGCGCCGCGGTTTTGTTGTGTATTTGTCTTTTTCTACAAAAACGTATTGTTTCCATTTGGACTCATAGAATTTTATTATTGAATCTGCAATAGATTATTGTTTTTCTTCAAAAATTATTGATTGGGCATCTGCCATTTCATTTTCTTCAGCGAATTTGCGCTACGCAATACATTATTTTAAAAGTCGGTGTAGGTTATTTTCATTGTATACAATTGTTATTGAATACGAGTTCTTTCTTTATAAAAATTCAAAAGGTCATCTAAATATAAAAAAAAACGTAATACGTATTTGTTATATTTTCAAACAATCAAAGTGTTTTCTGTTACCTTAACCCTTTACACGTACTGAGTATCTTAGATCTTTGTTCCCGAGACAAGAAAATCTCAGCATACTCATCTGAAAGACATTGATGAATATCGGATCACTTTCCATGATGTATCTGAAATTGTACAATCTTCCGTTTATTTTTTCATGTATTTTTTACATAAAAAGTTCACCCAATGACTATGATATATCAAATGTGTGGGATGGCAATGCTCTGTAAACTTTCTTTTCTTCAAACTTTCATTTATTTCTTTATGCTTACATGTAACAGCGTCGTCAGGTACAGAAAAATTAAACTGGGGACCGGTATTTTGACTTCCTTTGAGGAAAACTGTTTAATTCCTAGGTGCAATTTGAACATAAAGGTTACCATTGATGGTCCTTCATTCGGGTTTATTTACATGTTTTACTGGACCTCTTAAAAATGTAAACTAGAAAAACACATTTGGAGCCCTTGTTTCACATTACATACGAGGGTTGATCCAAAAGTTCGTGGAATTTCTTCATATTTTATTTATTTTTAACTGATATTGGTTGAAAATTACAAATGAGAATATAGAAACTTGTTGAATATTTTAAATAAAAAACATTTTAAATATTTATGATAGTAACTCTATGGCAGTTACCATAGAAACGGTTGTTTGGAAATGCGGGGGACACATTACGCGTTTATTATCATTTTAATTTTTAATGCATGAAATAAGAATAAAACCGCCATATAAGGTATAAAAACGAAAATTGTGTCATTATTACGATTGCTTGATCTTTTATAAACCTTTGTGTGGGAGTTTTACTGATTTTACTGGATATTTTGTTTATTTGTTCATCTTCAAGTTGTTAGACAACGTCGAATTTTGGTAAAGTCACATGTTTTGTGAAAATCCCGGAATCTCTCTATCTTAAACGCGTATATTATTGTCATAGGCTAGGGAAAATTCATTTAGTTACTGGTTTTCCTTTGGCATAAGAACTATTTAAGAAAAATAGAACTTCCATGGACGCTGATTATAGGTGTGTCCGCCTTTTGGAGGCTCTGTTTTAAGTGTTTATCCCCATAGACAAATTAAAAGCGTTAATGGACCTTGTTGCCTGACGTACTGTTCATAACCTTGCTACTGAAAATGGAACATCATATGGAAAGATGGGGAGTATTTTGAAATGTGAGTGAACAATGAAGAAAGGTTGGTTTGAGAGGATACCTAGGCTTTCCTTGAGGAAAAAAATTGAGAAAAGAGCAGCATTATGTAGAATTACATATTCGAATTGAACATTAGGATGAGATGCTTCTATAACGTGACGTGACATATCAAACTTGATGTAACGTCGAAGTCTCCTCCGGGTTTCACAACATTCCAATTTCAGAAAGCTCATGTGATCTTATTTGTAATTGGAAAGTGGTGAAATTTTCCAATATTATTGCAATATGACTTTATATTATAAATATGCCTGTTGTTTGTTTTCATCAAATCACGATAGAATTTTAGAAAGAAATTCTACAAACTTTTGGATTAACCCTCGTACACATTATATAGACGATCCCTTTTTCTTTGACTCCACATTTTATTATTAATCGCTCTTTTCACCTTTAAAAAGTGCACCCCTGATTTGTTATCCAAAAATTTCTATTTAAATAGATCGTTGGCACAATAAACGCATGAAAGAAAATACTCCAGTAAGGCATTTGCAAGAAAAAGTACGTTTTTGAAGAAATGTTATTATATTCATTCTCTTAGTCAGAATTCTAGAAAATGTTGTGTTGATTATTTGATTAGCTTTTTAGAAATGTCTTTCAGTGAAGGATATGGAGATAACGAACATTATTCAATATCAAAGTTCATAAAACAATACAAATTAGGAGCAGAGCGGACCTCGAAAACATCAGAGGTGGGATCAGGTGCCATGGAGGAATGAGCATCCCCTACCGACCAGTCACACCCTTCGTGTGTTCCTTGTCATCATTGGGAAATAACGGGAAAATCCGTCGTCAATTCAGGATCAGTGTATAAATAATAAAAGACATTTATTAGTATGATTATGATTTTGACACTTCTTGATTAGATAGATTGACTGATTGTGATTGAATATATCAATTGATTGTGAATTTGATTTTGAAATGTATGACTAAGAGTTATTGATCTGACTAATTATGATTGATTAGAGTAATTGTGAGTTTTGTCTCCGTCATTTAAATAAATGACAATTTTCAATTCAATACATTCTATCAACCATCAAACAAAGCACAACATACAGAATTGTGCCATAAAAGTACATTTATATTTTATAAATAATTTTATGGCACATCTTTGTAGTAAAAGGGGAATAACTCTAACATTACACTTCACAGAAATGTAGGTTTGATTACTTGGTATGACTTGACGCGTAGTGCACACTTCCGGAAATACGTCATAAAAACCATCCCAAGCAAGGGTTCCATGCAGAATCACCACATGTACTATTGACTTGATTTTACAAAACCCAACCCACCCTCCCTTTTTTGGTATTTATTTTAATACAGATAGCCTTTTAGCCATGTCAAAGGTTTATGGATAGGTTTCCCCCCCATCTTTGATGGTTGTAGCATTTTTCACATTATCTAATCATTTTTAAAAGTGTTTAAATTTGAAGTTGATGTGTATATGGTTGCTTTTAATTCTAATCTGTCAC